AAAAAAAAAAAAAATTTAGCCAATCCTAGTGAGAGCCTGTAGTCCCAACTGCTCAGGTGGGAGGATCACTTGAGCCCAGGAGCTTGAGTGTAGTGAGCTATGATTGTGCTATTGCACTTCAGCCTGGACAACAGTGAGACTGTCTCAAAAAATAAAATAAAATAAAATAAAATAAAATAAAATAAAGTCAGGGTAATATGTAAGATTGTCTAGCCCTAGAAAACTGGTTAAAGGGTGAGATGGCCAGACTCAGAAATCTGGGGAATGCTGAAGTTCAGAGGATGGAGAGAGGAAGATAAACTCGCTGGAGTGAATGGTTTATGTCCCAGAGGTAGAAAAAATGACAGAATGGTGTCTTGCAAGCCAAAGGAGAGTTTCAAGACCCAGGGCATGACCAAGAATGTCAGTGCCATAGAGAGGTTAGGTTAGATAAAGACTAAATGATGAAAAGTAGTCACAATTCTGAACCGGTGGCCTTTACTTGAGCAGTTTCCTAGAGAAGGGTAGAAATCAGATGTTGTGGGATGCAGGGTAAAAAGGAAGTGAAGAAGTAGAGATAGTGAGGATCACTAACATTTCCACATTTAATATGTGTAGTCTTACTCGGGAATGACCCTGAAGGTGGTTAATATTAACAGTGTGTGATTTACCTAAGCAAGAACTCTTATCATAAGCTGAGAGGCTGCTGTGTAGGAAGAAGTTAATTGTGTCGGGGTGAACCTGGTCAACTACTCAGCTTCCCTTAACCCATTCATGCCTGAGGTTGCAAATATTTTTTGTGAAAAATCAGACCTTGGTGATGACCTTGGGCAGTACAAGATACATAACTCCCCAAAACTTAGCATTCCAATAATGGAACACTAGGCAATGAACACTGCTGTTCTTATCAAGTGTTTGATAACTTCCAATAAGTGTCTGAAAAAGCCTCTTAAAAATCCATAAGTTATGGGCTGGGCGCAGTGGCTAACGTCTGTAATCCCAGCACTTTGGGAAGCTGAGGTGGGTGGATCACCTAAGGTCAGGAGTTCCAGACCAGCCTGGCCAACATAGTGAAACCCTGTCTCTACTAAAAATATAAAAATTAGCTGGGCTTGGTGGCGGGCGCCTGTAATCCCAGCTATTCAGGAGGTTGAGTCAGAAGAATCGCTTGAACCCAGGAGGCAGAGGTTGCAGTGAGCTGAGACTGGGCCTTTGCACTGCAGCCTGGGCAACAAGAGTGAAACTCCATCTCGAAAAAAGAAAAAAATCCGTAAGGTATAACTGGTGGGGTGTGAACTTCTAATGAATAATGGTTATTGCAAATTTGAGGACTCTTAATACATATCTCTGGAAGCTGCCCAAGGTCTGCTGAGCTTTTTCCCCAGGGGTTAGGCTATGAAAGAGAAATGTGTGTTTTCTAGAGGGGGAATACCATGTTGGCAATGTATATTTTGGTGTTACTGTGGGCTTTGTTTTGTTTACAATTGAAAAGACTCTGGCTGGGTGCAGTGGCTCACACCTGTAATCCCAGCACTTTGGGAGGCCAAGGCAGGTGGATCACGAGGTCAGGATATCAAGACCATCCTGGCCAACACGGTGAAACCCCATCTCTACTAAAAATACAAAAATTAGCCAAGCATGGTGGCACACGCCTATAGTTGCAGCTACTCGGGAGGCTGAGGCAGGAGAATCACTTGAACCCGGGAGGTGGAGGCTGCACTGAGCCGAGATCACAGCACTGCACTCCAGCCTGGCGACAGAGCAAGACTCTGTCTCAATAAATAAATAAATAAATAAATAAATAAATAAATAAATAAAAAGACTAAGGAGAAGGCAGTAAATGGAGGTAGACTATTAAAAGTAAGAAAAAAGAAGGGGTACAGAAAATCCCTTAGAAGAAAAGATAGGATGGAATCAAGAACTCAAGAACCTCCCAAGAGCATAAGGATGGCTGATTGAATTGCTTAGAAATCCAGAACTGCTCTTACCCATGGAGATCTTCTCAACCTTATCCAGGGCCACTGAAGTTGAATCAAGAGGCCAAAACAATTTGGTTGAATGGAGCACTGCAGTGGGAATCAATAAACACAGGCTGGAGTCCTGGCTCTCTCACTGACTAGGTACGTGACCTTGGGCAAGTCAGTTCCCCTCTGGAACTGAGCCTTCTGACATTGAAATGAAGGTGTGGGACTCATTTCAAGTCACTGGGTGATGTCTACTGTGCCTTACAACTCTACTATTGGATAGTGCTGGTTTGGGGCAGCAGATTACAAGGAGAGTGGCTCCTCTAAGGGAGAGAGGGGTGAAAGATAGCCCCATATTCTATTTTTTATTTCTGTGAAAACCGTTGTTACCAATAGCCTGGCTTTCTCACAGCCTGTGTCTTGTGAGGGCTTAAAGATGGATTAATTCACTAGGATCATTCTATTAAGAGGTCAGGAAGCCATACTCAAGGTTTCCTTGGAAAGAGTGCCTACCTTGATGACATTGTCCTTACAGTCCACCACTCGTTCAAATGTTTGGCTGAGGATCTCAATGTCCTTATGAAGCTCTCTGGTCTTGACTTCCCTAAGGACAGTTCTCCACTGTGTGTTAATCTTATTAAGGTTCAAAGCACTGTTGTGTTCCTCCTTGGCCAGCTTGTCCTGTGTGAAGGAATAAATATACCTCCAGGAAGTCAGGGCCTTTCAGTACAACAAACAAGATCACTCTTAATTTATCAGCTGACACCTTACCCCTTTTCGATGGGAACGGCCTGATGGCATTTAGGGAGGGCAAGGGTGAATTTCCTTCAGGGTGGGAGCATCAGAGTAGGATGTTGTTTGTAATGACCCATCTCCAGGGAGAATATCAGCATTCCAGACAGCTGGGATAGCGGACAGGACCTAAGGTCCCAGTTCTGTGATTCAATAGAGACCGCCAAGCTGTATACCACGCACCTCCTCCATGCTTCACGGAGAACACCCCCGCCTCCCAAACAATGTTGCCTGAAATCTAAGTATATCTGGGTCTCAGGATTTCCGGAGGAGGGGAGGTCAGGATGAAAATGAGGTTTCCTCAGTGACAGGCCAGCGCGGCGGGTGGATGGGGTTGAGCAGGACATAATGCAAAAGGCCATCACCTTCAAGAACTGGCTGAGGAGCCTCTCTTTCTTTTTGGCCATCTCCTCCTCTGCCAGCAACTTCTGTTGAAACAGAAGCAGCTGCTCCTCATCGGACAGGGGGGTCTTGGCCTTTTTTTCTTTCTTAGGCATGGCGGGGCAGGGGATTGGATCCGGGAAAGAAGCTTCGGCCTGTCTCGACCCGCGTTACAGAGCGTAGAAGAAAAATGTCCCTAGAAAGGGGCCTTCCAGAACTGCCCCTGGTTGTGGGCGGTTGTGGGACCTGAGATCTCAGCTCTCGCACGAGAGAGACCCCGGACTATCAGTGAGGCTGAGCTCTCCCACGGTAAGACGCGTCTAGTCTCCTAGCAACGAGGATCTCGCTAATATAGCGAGGCAACGGCTAGAAGAGTCCATGTCTTGGAGCGCCCCCTACCCAGTGGAGGACCGCGGTCGATTTTTGAGAGGGTCCTTTTACCTCTCAAAAACCTGTCTCCTCAGTGCATTTTTTTTTTTTTTTTTTTTTTTTTTTTTTGAGACCGAGTCTCGCTCTGTCGCCTAGGCTGGGCATGATCTCGGCTCACTCAACCTCTGCCTCCCCTGTTCAAGCAATTCTCCTGTCTCAACCTCCCCTCAGTGCACTTTTATAAACCTTCCTCAGACCCCGTGGGAAGCCCAAGATCGTCAAAAACAGAACCAAGAAGTCTGACCGATATGTCAAAATTAAGTGTAACTGGCGGAAACCCAGAGGTGTTGACAACAGAGTTCGTAGAAGGTTCAAGGGCTAGATCTTGATGCCCAACATTGGTTATGGGAGCAACAAAAAAACAAAGCACATGCTGCCCAGTGGCTTCCGGAAGTTCCTGGTCCACAACGTCAAGGAACTGGAAGTGCTGCTGTTGTGCAACGAATCTTACTGTGCTGAGATCGCTCACAATGTTTCCTCCAAGAACCGCAAAGCTATCGTGGAAAAGAGCTGCCCAGCTGGCCATCAGAGTCACCAACCCTAATCCCAGGCTGCGCGGCAAAGAAAATGAGTAGACAGCTCATGTGCATGTTTTGTGTTTAAATAAAACTGTAAAAACTGCAAACAACAACAACAACAAAAACCTTTTTAAAAAAGGTAAGTGTTGGAGAGAATGTGGAGAAACGGGAACCCTCATATATTGGTGGTGGAAATGTAAAATGGTGTAGCCACTTTGAAAAACAGTTTGGCAATTTTTTAAAATGTTAAACATAAATTTACCATGTGACCCAATAATTTCACTCTTAGGGATCTGCCTAAGAGAAATGAAAGCATACATACACACAAAAACTTGCACAAGAATGTTCTTCTCTGTCTCACTCATAATAGCCCAATTGGAAAAATTAGAGACAACCTAAATGTCCATTAACATGTGAATGAGTAGACAAAATATGCTGTGTCCATACAATGGAATATTATTCAGAACAAACTATGGATACCAGCTACAATGTAGGTGAACCTCAAAAAGAATATGCAGGCTGGGCGCTCTGGCTCACACCTGTAATCCCAGCACTTTGGGGGGCCAAGGCGGGAGGATTGCTTTAGCCTAGGAGATCGAGACCAGCTTGAACAATGTGGAGAAATCCCTTCTCTACAAAAAATACAAAAGAAGTTAGCCAGGCGTGGTGCATACCTGTTGTCCCAGCTACCCCAGGAGGCTGAGGTGAGAGGATCACCTAAGCCCAAGCCCCAGAGGTCAAGCCATAATCAAGCCATTGCGCTCCAACTGGGTGACAGAGCAGCCCTGTCTCAAAAAAGAAACAACAAAAACAAAACAAACAAACCCTTTTTTAGACTGGAGTCTCACTCTGTCACCTAGGCTGGAGCAGTGCATGATCTCAGCTCACTGCAACCTCCACCTCCCGGATTCAATAAATTATCCTGCCTCAGCTTCCCGAGTAGCTGGGACTACAGGTGTGCACCACCAAGGCTGCCTAATTTTTGTATTTTTAGTAGAGATAGGGTTTCACCATGTTAGCCAGGTTGGTCTCAAACTCCTGACCTCACATGATCCACCCACCTCGGCCTCCCAAAGTGCTGGGATTACAGTCGTGAGCCACCATGCCCAGTCAAAAAAACCCTATGCTCGGCCGGGTGCGGTGGCTCAAGCCTGTAATCCCAGCACTTTGGGAGGCCGAGGCGGGCGGATCACAAGGTCAGGAGATCAAGACCATCCTGGCTAACACGGTGAAACCCCGTCTCTACTAAAAAATACAAAAAAACTAGCCAGGCGAGGTGGCGGGCGCCTGTATTCCCAGCTACTCGGGAGACTGAGGCAGAAGAATAGTGTAAACCCGGGAGGCAGAGCTTGCAGTGAGCTGAGATCTGGCCACTGCACTCCAGCCTGGGTGACAGAGCGAGACTCCGTCTCAAAAAACAAAAAAAACAAAAAAAACAAAAACAACAACAACAAAAAAAAAACTCTATGCTCAGTGAAATAAGCCAGATACAAGTGATTACATATTGTATGGCTCCATTTATATGAAATATCTAGAAAAGGCCAAGCTATAAAGACAGAAAGTAGATTACCTTCTTTCTTTTTTTCTTATTTTCTCTCCTTCTTTCTTTCTCTCTCTCTCTCTCTGTCTCTCTCTCTCTTTTTTTGGCTGAGTCTTGCTCAGTTGCCCAGGCTGGAGTGCAGTGGCACAGTCTCGGCTCACTGCAACCTGCACCTCCCAGGTTCAAGTGATTCTCCTGCCTCAGCTTCCCAAGTAGCTGGGATTACAGGCACCCGCTACCACGCCCGGCTAATTTTTGTATTTTTAGTAGAGATGGGGTTTCACCATGTTGGCCAGGCTAGTCTCAAACTCCTGGCCTCAAGTGATATACCTTGGCCTCCCAAAGTGCTAGGGTTACAGGTGTGAGCCACCGCACCCAGCCAGATTACCTTCTTTCTAACCCCCTAACCCCCAGTGGGAAATCCTAACCCCCAATGGAATATTAGGTGGGGACTTTGGGAGGTATTTAGGTTTAGACAGGTCATGAGAGTGGAGCTCCCATTATGGGATTAGTGTCCTTAGAAGAAGAGAAAGAGACTAGCATTGTCTCTCGGCTTTGTGAGGATATTGGGGAAAGACAGCCATGTGCAAACCAGGAAGAGAGCCCTCACCAGACACCAGATCTGCCAGCACCTTGATCTTGGACTACCCAGGCTCCAGAGCTGTGAGAAATAAACATCTGTTGTTTAAGCCATCTAGTATATGGTATTATGTTATGGTTATGGCAGCCTGAACTAAGACAATTTTCTATTATCTGTGGGAGGGGAGAGGAAGATAGTATAATAGTAAATGTGTATAAATATATATAGTAAATGTGCTTGAGGGATAATACTGGGATGTTGAAAATGCTCGAAAATGTATTTATGTTAAACAAGTTGATGAATTTGGTTTGAAAAGTCATTGAACCAGATGCCATGGCTCACCCCTATAATCCTGGCACTTTGGGAGGCCAAGGAAGGAGGATCACTTGAGCCCAGAAGTTCAAGATCAGCCTGGGAAACATAGCGAGAACTTGTTTGTAAAAAATAAAAATAGTCTGGGCATGGTGGCTCACGCCTGTAATCTAAGCACTTTGGGAGGTTAAGGTGGGTGGATCACCAGCCTGGCCAACATGGTGAAACCCTGTAGCCAGGCGTGGGCATGGTGGCTCACACCTGTAATCCCAGCACTTTGGGAGGCCAAGGTGGGTGGATCATCTGAGGTCAGGAGTTCAAGACCAGCCTGACCAACATGGAGAAACCTTACCTCTACTAAAAATACAAAATTAGCTGGGCGTGGTGTCGCATGCCTGTAATCTCAGCTACTCAGGAGGCTGAGGCAGGAGAATCACTTGAACCTGGAAGGCAGAGGTTGCAATGAGTTGATATCGTGCCATTGCACTCCAGCCTGGGCAACAAGAGCAAAACTCTGTCTCGAAAAAATAATAATAATAAAATAAAATTTAAAATAGAAATAAAAAGCCTGGTTGGGTGTGGTGGCTCATGCCTGTAATCCCAGCACTTTGGGAGGCTGAGGTGGGTGGATCACTTGAGGTCAGGAGTTCAAAACCAACCTGGCCAACATGGTTAAACCCTGTCTCTACTAAAAACACAACAATTAGCCCAGGTGTGGTGGCACACATCTGTAGTCCCAGCTACTTGCGTGGCTGAGGTATGAGGATTGCCTGAACCCAGGAGGTGGAGGTTGCCGTGAGCTGTGATCATGCCACTGCACTCCAGCCTGGGTGACAGAACAACCTAGTCTCAAAAAAAAAAAAAAAAAGTCATCAAATTATACACTTTAAAAAAGTGAACTGGCCAGGTGCAGTGGCTCACGCCTGTAATCCCAGCACTTTGGGAGGCTGAGGCGGGCAGATCACCTAAGGTCGGGAGTTCGAGACCAGCCTGACCAACATGGAGAAACCACGTCGCTACTAAAAATACAAAATTAGCTGGGCGTGGTGGCGCATGCCTGTAATACTCATGACAATCATAGTCCTAGGTTCCGTAACTGGTCACGTGGTCATAGCTGGTATTAATAGCTACATTTTTCTACTACTATCCTGTATTCCCTTTGCCTTCAGCAAGCACCTTAACAGGTGTTTACTTGTTTCTTTTCTTTTTTTTTTTTTTTTTGAGATGGAGTCTTGCTCTGTCGCCCAGGCTGGAGTGCAGTGGCC